ATTTCAGGCACAAACAGGCACGTGAGTAGAACCATCTACGTTCTATAAGCTAGCTGGACAGCTTCCTCACATGAAAGAATCCAAAGTCTTTGTTGGGATTCGAACCCACAGCAGTGAGGGGCAAGTGGTTTGAAGTTAACAACCTTAACCACTTAGCCACGGACGCACAGAGTTTTAAAGTTGTACTTACAAAAATTCAATCATTTAGTTATACAGCTTGGATAGAAAACTTGTAAAGAAATGGATTTTGATCAAAATGGTGAAATTGAAATTACAGGCAACACATAGCCACACTGCTGTAACCATACAAATGTGGTGGAGGTCACTAGTGACAAGTGAAGATTTAGGTAAGTTTTGAAACTGACAAACTTAATGTTTGATAGTTACTTTAAGCTGCTGGAACTGAAAAATGTGAAAGGGAACTGAACAAGAGGGCCATGATGGCCTTGAAATCACTCACCTGTATATAGAAACTCTCCATGACAAGGAACAAGCAATATTGTAAACTATAAACAAAAGCAGATATAAAATCTAAATCTTAAACTGATATCACAAAGTTCATATTTTGTATAGTATATTTTCATACAATTTTGATCCCAAGGCTTTTATTTAAACAAACTTGTTAGACACTCAATAAAAAATGTTTCAGGCTAAATATCTAAGCTCTAGCTCTGGGTTTTTTTTAAAGTTTTTTTTCTTCTTTTGGTTGCCATGGCAACCAGAGTTCTGCAAAGAATTAAATTCTTTTGACAATTTTAAAAGGTGACCACCAAAGGAACATTCCTGTGAAGTTTGGATGAAATTGGCTCAGGGGTTTATGAGGAGATGTCATTTAAAGCAAAAGTTTACGGACGGCGGACGAATAGCGATCACAAAAGCCCACCAAGTCACTTTGCGACAGGTGAGCTAAAAATGTGATAGAGCCTTTAAACTATTGACAGTTCAAATTTTGTATTTTGTTGATGAAAACCCTTCAAAATTTAAATTGGATGTTCCAAATTTCAAATTAAGGCAAGTCCTTTACACACATTAAGGGTAAATGAAAGTAGGGATACATTTAGTCTAATAAAAAAATTTAAAGGTTCAAAAAAATTAAGTTAAACAAGAGCTGTCAGTAGGACAATGCGCTCTACTACTCTCTGTGCTTGATAGTGGAACAAGAGCCTTGATAATGTAGAAATTAACCAAAACAAGAGTTAAGGGTCTTGAAACGTGACAGTCGGTGATAATCCCCCAAGAAGGGGCCATAATTCAGCCAAACCAATGCTAGTTATGAGCATTGGACAGCGACCTCGAACTATGATCTCACAGATATATGAAGTTACAATAACTAGAACTATCACTAAATGTGATTAATACCTCCACAAGACTGCTTCGGAAATGAGGATGTTACTAGTAACAGAATATCTTGTAAAAGAAATGAAATATAGAGTAATGGTTGTGGGCAATTAAAGATAGTTGTGGTTCTTGTATATTGCATTTCCTTTCAATATGGTTGGCCATTGATGAAGTTTTATTGAATTACTCTGTAATAAGTCCAGAAAGACAAAGAAAAGGAACAAAGGGCAATAACTCTATAAATACTGAAGATGGAGTTATAGTTCTTGTGCACTGCACTTCCTTTTTTTGTGCTTGACCATTGTATGAAGTTGTTTTGAATTTCAACCAGTACGTTTTAAGTTATGCTCCAGACAAGGAAAAGTATCAAAGGGCAGTAACTCTGTATTTTGTCAAAATGGAGTTATGGCTCTTATGCACTGCACTTCCTTTTAATGTCCTTGACAACTGTATGAAGTTGTTTTGAATTCCAAACAGTAGTTTTCAAGTAATGCTCTGGACAAGGAAAAGTAACAAAGGGCATTAACTCTGTAATTTGTCAAGATGGAGTTATGGTTCTTGTGCACTGCACTTCCTCTCAATGTGCTTGACCATTGTATGAAGTTATATTGAATTCCAACCATTAGTCTTCAAGTTATGCTCCGGACAAAAAAAAGCAATGGAAAAGTAACAAAGGGCAGAAACTCTGTAATTAGTCAAGATGGAGTTATGGTTCTTGTGCACTTCACTACCTCTCAATGTGCTTGACCATTGTATGAAGTTATAATGAATTCCAACAATTAGTCTTCAAGTTATACTCCGGACAAAAGAAAGCAATTGAAAAGTAACAAAGGGCAATTACTCTGTAATTACTTTAGATAGAGTTATGGTTCTTATGCACTGCACTTCCCCTTACTGTGTTTGACAATTGTATGAAGTTGTTTTGAATTCCAACCAGTAATTTTCAAGTTATGCCCCGGACAAGGAAAAGTAACAAAGGGCAATAACTCTGTAATTAGTCAAGATAGAGTTATGGTTCTTGTGCACTGCACTTCCTCTCAATGTGCTTGACCATTGTATGCAGTTATATTGAATTCCAACCATTAGTCTTCAAGTAATGGTCCGGACAAAAGAAAGCAATGGAAAAGTAACAAAGGGCAATAACTCTGTAATTACTTTAGATAGAGTTATGGTTCTTGTGCACTGCACTTCCCTTATTGTGTTTGACAATTGTATGAAGTTGTTTTGAATTCGAACCAGTAGTTTTCAAGTTGTGCCCCGGACAAGGAAAAATAACAAAGGGCAGTAACTCTGTAATTAGTCAAGATAGAGTTATGGTTCTTGTGCACTGCACTTCCTCTCAATGTGCTTGACCATTGTATGTAGTTATATTGAATTCCAACCATTAGTCTTCAAGTTATGGTCCGGACAAAAGAAAGCAATGGAAAAGTAACAAAGGGCAATAAGTCTGTAATTACTTTAGATAGAGTTATGGTTCTTGTGCACTGTGTTTGACAATTGTATGAAGTTGTTTTGAATTCCAACCAGTAGTTTTCAAGTTATGCCCCGGACAAAGAAAAGTAACAAAGGGCAATAACTCTGTAATTAGTCAAGAAAGAGTTATGGTTCTTGTGTACTGCACTTCCTCTCAATGTGCTTGACCATTGTATGTAGTTATATTGAATTCCAACCATTAGTCTTCAAGTTATGGTCCGGACAAGGAAAATGCAACAGACGTCTGGACCGACCGACCGGGTGACTCCTATATACCCCCCCAAACTTCATTTTTGGGGGTATAAAAATGTGAAGTGGTTGATAAGATATGAAGTTAAACATACACAGACAGTAGCACATACAACTTTAGCCAAAAGTGTTACGGGAATCACTAATGCCTACGCCCAGGTGAGAAGGTAAGCCCAACTATTCTTAGAATAGTCAAGTTTCAATATCATTCATATACATGTAAAACTGGTGAAATCATTGACACAATCGTAAAACTAATCGAGCTTAAATCAAATTCACTTAATACGTGAAAACAAATACACCTTAGTCTTCTAACAACAACAAAAAATAAATAAAATATTTACAAATTTATTTTTGAATATGTGAAATTGTTACAAGATTCTTTTAGAAGTGAAACTTAAAATGATGATTATTTGATGATAGCTGGCCCCATATCAACATGAAAATGTAGGGCTCGAATTTAACTTTCTATGGTACATGTACTTGTTTACTTGTAAATATAAAAAACTTTAAACTCGCAAAAGTTTATCATATCAGTAGTTTGTATATTTTTTCATGACATGCAAAAACCAAAATTTGTAATGTTCTGTTTATAAATGCTAAAAAGAAAAAAAAGAAAAAGAAAAAAAATCAGTAAATTTCTTGCTATGTATTTCAGTTGGAACTGTACAATTGGGACACATATTGAACGAAACTTATCAACCAATCATAAATGTACACAATCACCGAGACAAAACGTGAGCACCACAAGCATTGTGAATGTTTGTCTGCTACGAGCAACAATTATCAATATCAAATTTTGACAAAAATTTAAATAAAATCTGAGTTTTAAATGGGTCATTCCTCCAAAAAAATATAGTTTTCAGAATAATGCCCCTTGTCTAACAACTGCACCTTGTCATGATATTAGAGCAAGTACTCAAAGTTTTTATTTTGATAACTTTCGAAATGCTTGAATAATAGGCTAAAATCTAAGTTTTTCATGATGACGATGCAATGATCTTAACAGCTCAACTTTTTCTTCGAAAGAAATCAAGCTAAAAATAATACATTAAGCGGTGTTCTGATGATGAGATATTTGTCAAGTTTAATGGTGATATATATAATACATGTATATTGACCTACATTTGTATTTGAAAGATATTTACAAATGATATATATGCGAACAGTCATCGAATTTAGCACTGGCCCGGTGGTCCATGGCCAGTGAAAAATCGTTAGGGCCAGTGAAAATTTTAAGAAAATTTAGTTAAATATATAGTAGAATAAATTCAAAACTGGAATTTGGGCTAGTAAGTTCAAAATCTTAAATTCATTGACTGTGAGAAGTACAGTCATACCTGTTAACAAAAGCCATCCAAGGAAGTGACCAAACATGTCCTTTATAGACAAGTGGTCTTTATTTGAGCCGTGTCACGACAAAACCAACATAATGGGTTTGCGACCAGCATGGATCCAGACCAGCCTGCGCATCCGCGCAGTCTGATTAGGATCCATGCTGTTCGCTAAAAACCCTATTACAAGTAGAGAAACTGATAGCGAACAGCATGGATCCTGATCAGACTGCGCGGATGCGCAGGCTGGTCTGGATCCATACTGGTCGCAAAGGCACTATGTTGGTTTTGTCGTGACACGGCTCATTTTAAGGTTTATTTGTTCTATATAATCAATGTACGGTTGTCTCAGTGGCCTTTATACACATAGTGATCTTTATTCAGAGATAATCTTTTACACAGGTCTGACTGTACATGTAGTTGCAATAACAAAAAAATTCAAATCATCTCGTTCCTTCTTAAAGTTCACAAGGATATCACTACAGTGCACTCCGGATATGAAAGTGTTTCTTCACTATGTCTATATGTGTTTCTTAACGGCTATTTATACTTTGCGGAACGGAACGGCCCGAACCTCACCATGTAAATAGAGGAAAGTAAATAAACCTACAGAAAATGTCTATGTGAACCAATTTTGAGACATAAAATAAAGGTTGATAAAAAAATAATATTCTCTTGATCAATTTCCTATGAAAGAGTTTGGTCAAATTTCCAGAACTATAATATAAATGTTATAAACAAACTTTAACTTTTGCGTGTATAGCAGAGTTTTTTTACGTGTATAGAAGAGTTAAATTCGAGCCCGTGAAAAGCTTTTCAAAAGCTGTACCCAATTTATAACCTGATTAATATGCATCTGTACAAGTGACATTAATGAAAATAAATAAAACAACAGCTCCCACAAATTGTGCAACAGTATCCCTTAGAATACCATTCTTCAGACCATTCTATTAGGGCTTATATTTTCAAATCTTAAAACTGCAAAATCATTATTATATGTGGAGCACTAATTTCCATTGTTTTCGTAGATAGGCCAATCCATGAATTTAGGATCCGACAAAATTTCATATTTTGTCTCCTGTAACATAATTTTGCATCACTTTATATTTTATCTTTTGGAAAAATAAAACAGTCCACGAAGTACCAACGAAAATGTTCTTTGTCTCAAAACCACAAAATTTCATGACCACGAAATTAATATAATTCACAGTATATGCATTCTTATATTTTATAAGTATGGGGGCAGTAACAAAATATTTGCCGAGGCTTGTAAGATAAAAGTACAATGTTCATAATTCAATATCGAACAAATATTGCTCTTTACTTTTATACCTGACTAAATTATAAAATATGATCACATTACCATACAATTGAGCTACCTTTCCAAGCAAGAAACATAATTTTCTCATCCGTGTATCACTATTTCCCAAGCACTAGATATCAATAATCCTGCCTCTTAACCACTTTAATCCCTCCCACTAGATCAGCTAAGCCCCGCCCAATTACAAGCCCCAATATGAATAAATATTATTATTATGATAATCGGACAGCAGTCAATGGATTATGAGATTTAAACTGTTTTTGTTGTTCGCGTTCTTGTTTTTTCAGCTGTTGTTGTAAGTGTCTTTGCTGTCTTTCTGCTTTACGTTTCTCTTTTATGACGTTGTCCGCCTGCCACGAGAGGTCGTCATCTGCCTCCGCCTCCCATGCATTCCCTGACTCCTCCCAACTGCCGAGTTCAGAATTCTGAAATGGATTTTTTTTGTAAAAGAAATCATTGGGAAAAGTTTGGTTCTTTATGGTCAATTTCTGAATTCTAAAATGGATTTGGATGTGACTTTATTTAATAGAGTGTTTACTATAAAGCAAGTCATTTTCCAACACATTATCAAAACTTTTCTCCTTTTAAATACCTAATCTTAACAGTTTAAAATAGGATTTTTTTTCACAAATTATGCCATTCAGGCTCTAATTTCCACAAATCAAATGACCCCCGAGTCATTCACAAAAGACTGAAACAAGCTAGAAAACTGGAGGGGAAAAAACAGAAGGACCAAACACAAATGACTGTAACAACCTGGAAATCTAGGAGAAAAAACAGAACAGCCAATTTAATATTAAACATGAGTTATATATAGAAATATGTAATGTTTATGTTGCATTGAAAACTAGAACTGCCACTGTCATGGCGTGAATACCCCCGCATACCACTTTGTCAGAATCAACAGTGGCCATTTAGAACTCAAGGACAACCACCCTGCCAAATCTGAGGTTACTAAGCCAGTGCATTGCTAAGATATGTATTCTCCATGCTTTAAATGTTAATATTTTAAAATCAAGTTTTTTTAGTCAAGGCCCCTGTGACCTTGACCTTTGACCCAGTGACCTCAAAATCAATAGGGGTCATCTAGTAATCATGACTAACCTCCATGCCAAATATGAAGAGTGTGGGTCAAAGGAATCTCAAGTTATTGGGCGGACAAGGTATTTTAAGTCAAGGTCCCTGTGACCTTGACCTTTGACCCAGTGACCTCAAAATCAATAGGGGTCATCTACTAATCATGACTAACCTCCATGCCAAATATGAAGACTGTGGGCCAAAGGATCTCAAGTTATTGGGCGGACAAGCTTTTTAAAGTCAAGGACCCTGTGACCTTGACCTTTGACCCCAAAATCAATAGGGGTCATCTGCTAATCATGACTAACCTCCATGCCAAATATGAAGACTGTGGGTCAAAGGAATCTCAAGTTATTGGGCGGACAAGATTTTTTTAGTCAAGGCCCCTGTGACTTTGACCTTTGACATGGTGACCTCAAAATCAATAGGGGTCATCTACTAATCATGATTAACCTCCATGCCAAATATGAAGACTGTGGGCCAAAGGATCTCAAGTTATTGGGAGGACAAGCTTTTTTAAAGTCAAGGACCCTGTGACCTTGACCTTTGACCCCAAAATCAATAGCGGTCATCTGCTAATCATGACTAACCTCCATGCCAAATATGAAGACTGTGGGTCAAAGGAATCTCAAGTTATTGGGCGGACAAGATTTTTTTAGTCAAGGCCCCTGTGACTTTGACCTTTGACATGGTGACCTCAAAATCAATAGGGGTCATCTACTAATCATGACTAACATCCATGCCAAATATGAAGACTGTGGGCCAAAGGATCTCAAGTTATTGGGCGGACAAGCTTTTTAAAGTCAAGGCCCCTGTGACCTTGACCTTTGACCCAGTGACCCTAAAATCAATAGGGGTCATCTAATAATCATGACCTCCATGCCAAATATGAAGACTGTGGGCCAAAGGAATTTCAAGTTATTTGGCGGACAAGGAAAAACCGACGGACGGACGGGGAGACATCTGGACGGACGAGCTGATTCCAGTATACCCCCCTTACAACTTCGTTGTGCGGGGGTATAACAAGAGGAATGTCATACGATAAAAGTAAACATGTCAATGTTTTACCTGCATCATTGGAATGTCTGCCGTCATGGCAAGTTTGTCAGATATATACCCTGTATAATCTTCTTTCTTCTTCACTAAAACCTGTATCATAAATTAATCATGATAAACTCCTCCATTTAAACTGTATCATAATCAGGATGAACTCTTTTACTAAAACCTGTATTATAAATTAATTATGATAAATTTCTTTGTTGAAACCAGTATCATAAATTAATCATAAATTATTTAATGATAAACTTCTTCATTAAACAAGAGGGCCATGATGGCCCCGAGGTCGCTCACCTGTATAAAGGCACCCGGAGCGGGGCCAGTTTAAACCCCAGGGCTTTCATTTGAACAAACTTGGAAGAAACCCATTAGAAGATGTTTCATGATGTTAAGTTTTTACTACACACATATAATGAAAAACAACAATCTAACCCCCTCCTTCCGTCCCCCCCACCCCTGGCAGGGCCAATTTTAACCCCAGGGCTTTTATTTGAACAAACTTGGTAGACACCCATAAGATGTTTCATGCTAAACATCTAAGCTCTAGCTCATTGGGCTTTTTTAAAAGAAGATTTTTTAAGTTTTTACTATACACATATAGTTAAAACCAATGACACTCCTGGGGCGGGGCCAATTTTGACCCCAGGTCTTTTATTTGAACAAACTCTGTAGACAATTACTAGAAGATGTTTCATGCTTAATATCTAAACTCTAGCTATTTGGGTTTTTTCAAAGAAGATTTTTAAGTTCTTGCTATACAAATATAAGGATAATCAATAACACCCGGGGCGGGGCCAATTTTGACTCCTGGGCTTTCATTTGAACAAACTTTGTAGACACTCACTAGAAGATGTTTCATGCTTAATATCTAAACTCCAGCTATTTGTTTTTTTCAAAGAAGATTTTTTAAGTTTTTGCTATATACATATAAGGAAAATCAATGACCCCCGGGGCGGGGCCAATTTTGACCCCAGGGCTTTTATTTGAACAAACTTGGTAGACACTCACTAGAAGATGTTTCATGCCAAATATCTTAGCTCTAGCTCTTTGAGTTCTTTAAAAGAAGATTTTTAAAGTTTTTACTATATGCATATAGGGAAAATCAATGACCCCCTGGGGCGGGGCCAATTTTGACCCCAGGGCTTTTATTTGAACAAACTTTGTAGACACTCATTAGTAGATGTGTCATGCTTAATATCTAAACTCTAGCTATTTGGGTTTTTTCAAAGAAGATTTTTAAGTTTTTACTATATGCATATACTGATATAGGGAAAATCAATGACCCCCTGGGGCATGGCCAATTTTGACCCCAGGGCTTTTATTTGAACAAACTTGGTAGACACAAATTGGAACATGTTTCATGCCAAATATCTTAGCTCTAGCTCGTTGGGTTCTTTAAAAGAAGATTTTTTAAGTTTTCCCTATATGCATATAGGGAAAATCAAAGACCCCCTGGGGCGGGGCCAATTTTGACCCTAGGGCTTTTATTTGAACAAACTTGGTAGACATTTATTAGAAGATGTTTCATGCCAAATATCTAAGCTCTAGCTCTTGGGGTTTTTTAAGAGAAGATATTTTAAGTTTTTTCTTTCGGTTGCCATGGCAACCAGAGTTCTGCATGGAATTTAATTCTTTGAACAATTTTTAAAGGTGACCACCAAAGGAACATTCCTGTGAAGTTTGGATGAAATTGGCTTAGTGGTTTATGAGGAGATGTCATTTAAAGTAAAAGTTTACGGACGGACGCCGGCCGGACGCCGGACGAAAAGCGATCACAAAAGCTCACCCTGTCACTTTGTGACAGATGAGCTAAAAAGTGAAACACATGAATTCCTGGGGTGGGGCCAATTCTGACCCAAAAGCAATAATTTAAACAATTTTGGCACAGGTCAAGAAAACAGTGATTCATGCAAAACATCTTAGCTCTAGCCCTTGAAATTTTCAAGAGGTACATTTTTTTAATTGTCACCACTATATATAGACCCTTTCATTTAAGACCGTATCCAAGTTGTCGCCCTTGGATGACGTCATTGGGGGATACGGTGGACAATGCCGATACAATTAAGTATAATAATAGAGGGATATAAAGATCTTAAACCTTTCTCTTTTAAGATTGGCAGATTGAAATTGCCAAAATTTTGTGTAATTAAATAAGATATTACATAAAAAGGATGGTGAAATGAATAAATATGTTTACTATATAATATGGTTAACGATTTGTTTAAATAGTAGACCATATTCCTGGGTAACTGATCATGATCTTACCATTTTCGTTAGATTCTTAATAATGAAAATTTTACCAGGCAGTTAAATCGTACTAACTTGCTAATACCAGAGATATAAATAATGTATCTAGGTCTCTGCTAATATAAAATACCCAAAAGATATTTTAAGTTTCAAAAATGTAAGGATTCTGTAGTTTCGAAAAACGGCTGCGTAATAATTAATTGCAAGATACTGGTTTATTAAAATAATTTTGATTTAAGTATTACTAAGACAAAGAAAAGAAAACAATATAAATCTATGTAATTTAAAAAAATGTAAAGGCATAAAAATAAAAATTCTTTTGAATGTACAGGACTGTATACTATTTGTGTCGGCAAAAATGCACTCTCAAAAAATCGTACATCACACCAATATTATTTAAGCTGGTAAAGTAATATTTTCAACTTGATGCTTTTTAATTCATATAATGCCAGAATTTTCTAAATGACAGAAAATAACACAGAAAACTAGACAAGAGGGCCATGATGGCCCTGAGGTCGCTCACCAGTATATAGTCCCCCCAACCCCCACCCCCCCCCCCCAATGTTGCAGGGTCAATTTAACCCAAGGGCTTTTATTTGCACAAACTTGGTAGACACCCATAAGAAAATGTTTCATGCTTAACATCTAAGCTCCAGCTCATTGGGCTTTTTAAAAGAAGATTTTTTTAAGTTTTTACTATACACATATAGTTAAAAACAATGACACCCCTGGGACCGGGCCAGTTTTGACCCCAGGGCTTTTATTTGAACAAACTTTGTAGACACTTACTAGAAGATGGTTCATGCTTAATATCTTAACTCTAGCTATTTGGTTTTTTTCAAAGAAGATTTTAAGTTTTTGCTATACACATATAAAGAAAATCAATGACCCCTGGGGCGGGGCCAATTTTGACCCCAGGGCTTTTATTTGAACAAACTTTGTAGACACTCACTAAAAGATGTTTCATGCTTAATATCTTAACTCTAGCTATTTGGGTTTTTTCAAAGAAGATTTTTTAAGTTTTTGCTATACACATATAAGGAAAATCAATGACCCCCTGGGCGGTGCCAATTTTGACCCCAGGGCTTTTATTTGAACAAACTTGGTAGACACCTATTAGAACAGGTTTGATGCTAAATATCTTAGCCATAGCTCTTTGAGTTCTTTAAAAGAAGATTTTTTAAGTTTTTACTATATGCATATAGGGAAAATCAATGACCCCCCGGGGCGGGGCCAATTTTGACCCCAGGGCTTTTATTTGAACAAACTTGGTAGACACTTATTAGAACATGTTTCATGCTAAATATCTTAGCTCTAACTCTTTTGGTTCTTTTAAAGAAGATTTTTTAAAGTTTTTACTATATGCATATAGGGAAAATCAATGACCCCCCGGGGCGGGGCCAATTTTGACCCCAGGGCTTTTATTTGAACAAACTTGGTAGACACTCACTAGAAGATGTTTCATGCCAAATATCTAAGCTCTAGCTCTTATGGTTTTTTAAAAGAAGATATTTAAAGTTTTTTCTTTCGGTTGCCATGGCAACCAGAGTTCTGCATGGAATTAAATTCTTTGAACAATTTTTAAAGGTGACCACCAAAGGAACATTCCTGTGAAGTTTGGATGAAATTGGCCAAGTGGTTTATGAGGAGATGTCATTTAAAGTAAAAGTTTACGGACGGACGACGGACGATGGACGGACGGACGCCGGACGAAAAGCGATCACAAAAGCTCACCCTGTCACTTTGTGACAGGTGAGCTAAAAATCTGTATTAAAAATTAATCATAAATTAATCATGATAAACTCCTTCATTAAAACCTGTATCATAAATTAATCATGATAGACTTCTCCATTTAAAACCTGTATCATAAATTTATCATGAATATTCCTTCATTACAGCCTGTATCACAAATTAATCATAAATTAAATTAATCATGATAAACTCCTTCAATAAAACCTGTATCATAAATGTATTATAGATCTGAGTGACCTTCACCTTTTAATCTGAAAATCTGTGTGACAGGTGCATTGTATTGAAGTTAATGCCCGTGAATGAAACCCTTACAAAAATAGTTAACCCAATACTGCAGCTTCTTCCTCAAAAAGGTTCATGATAATACAGCTCTTTCTTCAAAAATTTATTCAAAAAATAGTAAAAAACATTCACCTTTTTCTGTTTTTTAACTTTTGGTGTCATATCCTGAAAGTAGTCCATTTCTGGTTCGTTTTCCTGAGATTGTTGTTGTTGTAGCTGCAGTTGCCGTTGACGATATTCCTCCACAGATCTGATCTTTTCAGCTTGTTTCTGTTCATCCCAGCTGTCCCAGGGAGACAACTCCTCCTGAACCTGATTTACAAAAAAAATATATAAAAATATATGGAAATATGGATTATGTTTACAAGCAGTATCATAAATAATTGAATCTATAAAATAATCCATTCTAAAAAGGTTAAAGGACCAATATGCCGCAGAAATGCTTTTATTCTTATTTCTTAATTATTTTTTTTTAAATTTTGGTGTACTTTTTATAGTATCCATCAGGTTATTTCCTTGCCATCTTTTCCATCTGTTGCTTTTTGGCAATAAGTACAGGCATAATGGATTATGGAAAATATTCTGAACTACAACTGGTTGAAAAGTGATAATAAATTTACTTCAGATACTTTTGTGTATTCAATTCAGCACGGCAGATGATCATCATGCATACATCATTAGACAATGCACTGCATGTCCATGTCTTTATTTTGCAAGGAAAGAATCATGAATGTGAATAAAATACTTAAGATATTGTGCATCTATGTGAACAATGCATAATCCATTTAATAACTGAAAAATCTTTGCAGATTTAAAACAATTTCCCCCACACACATCGCTTTGTACAATTCCAGCCGTCATAGTGATAAAATACTAAAGGGAGGTGACTTTCATTCAAATGCAAGGTCTTTTTTTGCTTATATTTTTAGTTCCCACATGAGGAAGCATTTCCTTATCTATCATTTTTATGCTATAGAAAAAACAGTTTTACTTATGTCGTTCAAAAATGTTTCTCAACACTTGGGGACATTCAAGTCCCATCTATAATAGTGCCTTTGTCATGCTATGCTACTGCACTGATCAGAGGAAGTTATTTAATTCCCACCAAAGGATGTGTGTGTCTGACCCCCTTTTTTTTTTGATACTAAAAATGAAATTTTTCATATCAAACAGATTACTACGCACATAGTTTTGGAAGTTTCTTGTTCAGATTTGCTTAAATGTTAATGACCTTTTTGGGGAGTTTTCACATAGACATATAGGCAAAATTAAAACTGGTCAATGGAATTTCTTAAACCTTGGCCTGTTGTTAGAAAATAATAAAAGAAACATTTTAAGCGAAAAAAAAAAAATTGGCCATGTTTGATTGTTTGTTTGATTGGGTTTTACGTCACAACCACACAGTATAGGTCATTTGGAAACGTTCCAGCTTTACTGGTTGAGAAAGACCTCAGATGACCTTCCTTGCATTATTTCAGGCATGATCAGCCACCTGAGTAGAACCACTGACGTTCCGTAAGCTAGCTGGATAGCTTCCTCACATGAAAGAATCAAAAGTCCCCGTAGGGATTCGAAACCACAGTGGTAATAGGCAAGTGGTTTGAAGTTAACGACCTTAACCACTCAGCCACGGACACTCCATTTGGCCATGCAATGATGTTTATTGTAAAAACTGTGAAACAGACTTAAAAAAAAACACTCTGAAACAGCTGTAAAACTGCATCACAAAGTTGATACCAAAACTTCTTTACTAATCCATTACTCTAAAGTATTAAATACCTGTCCAGTTCCATTCATAGAGTAGTGGGAGGACAAATTTTCTACTGAAGGGTAATGATTTGACATCGGCAGAATTGGGTCAGAGTTTCGACGTTTCCTTCGGCACCATAGCCTTTTTAGAGGAGAAAATATCATGAAAATGACTCCAAATATCTTCTTTATTACATTCCATATCACTTTTATCATCCTGTAAGTAGAATGGAGATGACATTACAAAATTAGCAATACTGTAAAATGTTACTTTCTTTTATTATAGTTTTTATGTTATTTAGCGTCTTTTTTAACATTTTCAATGTCGGGGTACGACATTGTTTTAAAAATGAGAAGCCTAAGATTGCTACATTGGTTTGATAGGCCACTAATCTAATATTCTATTCAGTGCATATTCTTTCTTGAGCAGTCGTTTTGCTGCACATGAAGTCAAATCTATTTTTTTTTTTCAAGTCTTGCCAAAGCTAGAATCTGAGATTCTGGGCCAGAACTGATTGTTAAGCAGTATCATGTATAGCTGTTCAGATGTACAGGGCCGGCAAAATCTGATTTTGACTTACTTGTCCGTTTTTATGTGGAGCATTTTATAACTTGTCTGTATAATATTGACATATTTAATTCTTGAAAATTTTCACTTGTTCGTACAGGCTGTAGGACAACATGGGCAATACCAAAAATTGATTTTGCCGACCCTGGATGTAGAATTTTGCTTCTATGTCAAAACTAGAAACTAACCTTTCTGTAGTGAAAAGTAGATTTAAGTGAAAATGCAGCAAATTAAAAACCCAAATTGGGCAAAACTTCTTCAACAATTTAATAGCACGTGCATATAGTGCACTTCCTTGAGATTATGGGAGTTGGGATTATGCATGCCTCATAGGTGTTTGGCGCCTTGATTGGTCACTACCCCCGGGCCACACCCCCTCACCCACTCTACAACCCTCCTACCTTTCAAAACCATGTAAACTGCAGTATTTTTCATTTGAAACAAGTTTTAATATTTGGTATATGCTGTTAATTCAATTTCCTTCACTTCCCACAAAAAAATTGATACATATATATTTAGTAAAGGTATGCAACTCGCCGCTAATTTTTCAGCACTCATCTTAATATGAACTCCATAACTCCAACATTTTTTCACCAATTTTCAAAATCTTGGTAACAAACGGTAGGGAATTGATTCCTGTTCAAGGAAATAAAGCTGTCATTACAATCATTTCAAGTTATAAGATTAGAAGATATGTAATCTCGAAGTCACCGCAAGTGTAAGTCGACAGAGACCTGACTGCTGGGTTTTTGTCAAAATTACCTGACTAAACAGTAGTTTCATCAAAATGAATGAATATTATTTGTATTGTGCATATAAATATGTTAAAATTATATCATTATTTGTAATAACTCAGTAACTGTTTGATCAAAACATCATATTGTGGGAAATGAAGGAAATTGAATTAAAAGCATAATGATATACCAAATATTAAAACATGTTTCAAATGAAAAATACTGCAGTTTACATGGTTAAGAGACGTAGGAGGGTTGTAGAGTGGGTGTGGGGTGGGGCCCGGTGGTAGTGACCAATCAACGCGCCGAACACCTATGGCATGCCTTAGAGACAAGTGTCACTACAGGTCAGATGATCACACACATTCCCAACGGCACCATATGCTTATTTCTTTCGAATCTTTACAACGAGAAGCGGATTCTGGCTTATGATAATCAATCTTTGGCACGTCAAATTGAAGATGCACGTCATGCGATTTACGTCTGTGCATGTTGTTTGGTAAGTTTTAATTGAAATGATTGTTCAAAAATCAAATTCTTTTCTTTAAATTATGTTTAAAAAAATGCATGAACAATAGAAATTAATTTGCAAGTGTATAAGTGTGAACCTTTTAATTAAATGTAAATGAAAAGCAAGACTTCTGAATTTGTTGTTGTTGTTGTTTCTGGTCAGATCTCGGATCATTTCTCGCAGAAAACGAGATAGAAAATATAAAGTTTATTGTGAGTCTCTACCTTTTTCTGCGGTCACAAAAATATTCATAAAAAATCATATCCGATCCACCAGTACTTGTACTTTCAAAAATGCTTTGGTAAAAAATGAAAGGTTGTACAATTGTTAAAAATTAGTTTTCCAGTGTAAATATTTCAATATCTTGTTTTCTCGGAGTTGAAATTAACTTCTGACTATAAGGTTTTAAAATCACATTTTTACAAAGAAACAATACCCCTTTGTACGGAAGCGTCCTAGTGCCAATTCATAATGTTTAAAAAAGAATAACCTATACGTAGGAGATAAAATTGAGATGAAAAGCCAAATTAGGATTTTATAACTCCTACATACGGTAAACATAAACATGCGGTACAAAATGCCTACACTATACTACATAGAAGATTATTTAAAACGCCTAATCAGGAGAGTATAACTCCTACATAGAAGATAAAAACTGATTAGAAGTGAATAACTCCAATGTATGACTTTATATAACCTCTAATTATTATATATAACTAGATAAAAAATACTTTTTTATGGAACTTTTATACATGTGTATCTCCTACGAAGGAGATAAAAAAAAGCCTTAATAGGGGTTTATAAATCTTATAATATAGACTCTTAATCAGGCTTTTTAGCTCCTACATATGAGCTATTTTTTTTTATTTATTTTTTTATTTTATTTTTGCAACAAATTGATCGCAGTTAGATGAAAAGATATACATATATATAAAATAACAGTTTCACAAATTTAAATATCATTTCATATCAATAATAAATTAAATAAATTAAGTTAATGACTTCAAAATCACATGAGGCACTGGATAAAATTATAAAAAATTAATAAATAAATAAAGTTCAGATTAAGACTACAACAGTCAGAATTTAATTAGCACAGAATATTGTTTAAAGTTACTGATAGACATGATATAAAAAAATTGTCTAACCTAGATTTAAAAAAAAAGAAGAAAAAAAAAGAAATTAAATAAATAAATAATAATAATAAAATTTCAATACAATGGTTTTGTTTAAGAGTGATCTATGGTTACAAGGATTGCCCATTAAGCTTGTGTGCTTATTTCCAATTGGGTCCTGTTAACCAAATAGATGGAAACAAGATGAAACCAGAGAGACATTCATTTCTCATATAAAATAGACAGTGAGATAAACTACCAATTAATCTTAGACTCTTATTATCACAGTAGTTTTGCATTATCACAGAAAAAAGGTGGAAAAAATACTCACTGGATCCGTATCTTAACACGTATACATATGCTATATTATCACAGTAGTTTTGCATTATCACAGAAAGAAAGGCATAGGAAAACATAAGATGACTAAAAATATAATAAAGTTTGGCGTACTTATGTCGGTAAGTTGTACATGTAAATTTTATATACTTTTTTAACAGTTAGATCCATATAGACCTATAGCTACATAATATAGATTGTCATATCACAGACTTTAATTATTTACTGTAATTATAGTCCATAGTCATGTTAACATATATCAGCGATATATGAAACGATATGCATTGATTCCTTGCATTTATCATTGTATTAGAATCTACCTGATTAAAAGAAGTCCGTTTTACAGAAGAACTCTTTTCGCGCTTTAGGCGGCCCTAACGAATCCGCATACCTGTAATACCGCCGTCTATGTGCACAAGTTGCCATGCAAATTTGATTACAAATGGCGGTCTCCCTATAAAAAAAAATACAAAATTGGCGTTTTTACTATTTGAAGAGTAAACCGTTTCATTGCCTATTTATAACTTACAACGGAACAATGCCTGTAAGTTTTCTTATTGATAAAAGTTAAATTTATTAAATAACCGTATACTGGTTGGAGAGATAACTCCGACACTAAATCACAAATGTAAACATGAGATCGAGGGAGTCAACAAGCACAGAAGTGCTTACAATACTCCAAGGAAACAGTAAACATACTTTTTGTAATATCTTAATTATCTTCCTGTATATTTTAAATATTGAACCACCTAAATAAAGTTCAGTTCAAAGACTTTACATTACACTACAAAAATTATGTATGAAGTGAGAATTGGTACTTCTTCAAGGTCCTGAATGAGGTATACTCGGTTCCTATGATATCAAGGGTTCTATGATATCAAGGTATTTAAATTTTCTGTGACTGCTAGTAAAAGCAACACATGATGATGCTAATATGAAATTAGGCAAAGCCTATGAACGGGGAAGTCGTTAAAAAATCCTTTCATTCTTTCCGTTTTAAAGGTGTCATTCGGTATTTTATACACCACTTCCGTTTTCACTCGGAACACTCGACGTTTATTATTTATCCGAAAAGTTGAGATTTGTACCCTTATCGGAATACACCGTCTTTTATCATTGAGTTACATTGTAAATGGCGTCGCCTTACTAGAACTGACACTGAAAATTTTATTGATAGGTATAGAATTCTATATTTTTTAATTGTTTTTTTATTTGATTTTCTTTTAAATATACATGTGTAGTCTATAGCCGGGCAAGCCAAAGCCCGGAGCCGCTTCGCGGCCCCGGGCTTTGACTTCCCCGTAATATTTGTAAAACTTGCACACTAGATTCATTTTTGTCTGCCAATAAATTAAATTTGGTGAATAATGAATGTTTTTGTGGCAAGAAAACTTTTCTATAAAACCTTCATATTTGACTACCATTTTCCTTAATGGTTTTTACACAGTCAATTAAAATATGTGATGAACACATATAAGTTGACATATAATCTGTTCATATAGTTTTAATTTTATAGCAAGTTAACTGTTGGAAGTTTTTCACAACTTAACTTGAAGGTTTTGACCCATCTATCCTTCCATACATGCTTTTTTGGGGATTACCTTGATACCGTAGTAACCTCCTCTGAAATTACCCAAAATGGCAGACATTAAAAATATTCTAAAAAATGTCATTTTTATTGGTTCTTTTGAAATAATTTCTTTACAAACAGTTCTGGAAAAGGTTCAATTATAAGATGGAAGAAAAATCTCATTCATTTATGATATTTGTATTTAAATATTTTCTGATAAACGTTAAGTACCATGATATCATAGAACCCCGGGCTATACAAAACATGGACTTTTTACCCCACAACAGTAGATAAAGTCGACACCAGAGCTGCATTACTGGTACTGGTACTGCAGTATGTACTGCAGCAATTTTGCAAGTACTGGTACTGATACTGAATTACTCTTACAAAAATTTGCTACTACTGGTACTGGTACTGCATTACTGTCTTAAAAAGTGGTACTGCTACTGCATTACCCAGTACTTTTGGTTTTTATAAAAATTAAAAATAACATCAATTTTTCTCATAAAATAAAGCTGTAAATTACATTAACTATATTTTATTTTTGTGAAAAAGTAAGTTATCAAATCTAAAGATAATTTGCTGCAATATTCCTTCAAATGTTAACATAGAATTCATCATAAAAAGCACCAAAGACTTTAAGTAAAAATTAAATTAAGATAAACGGACTCAATAACTCTTAACCCTAAAATATCCTTATTAAAATCTTTTATTACTTTGTATTTACTAGTAAAAGGGCAAAATAAACACTAATTAATTTCTTCTATTCTAAAAAATCCCATTTCAAGTGAAAAAAGTGATATTGTAAGCACCATAAAAAGTTGTTATTTACTTTGGTATAAATTGAAGAGAGGTGTGAAGGTGTGAAAGGAAATAAAGACTGTTGTGTTTTAAATGAAAGATGTTTGCATTGTATTTATACAGTTGACTGGTTACTAAACAATTAGATATGACATGAATATATGTTGTAAATATTGTTTGTAAAAAGTATGTTAAAACTATAAAGTTGTAAATATGTTATGTTAACTTTAAAGCAGCACGCCAATAGGCACTTAAAATCCCCGTAAATTACTAAAAAGAGGTCAAAATATGCATAAATAGCCCCTACTGCGTTAGTAACGCAGTAGAAATATGGTGATAAATACTACAAAACACAGTCATTAATTGCACATAAGATATTTAAATTATCACTTGAATCTTTAATTTGTTTACTTTTCTCAAAGTTTTAGTAATTTTTTTCCAAGTTTAATTTTCTTGAAATATTTTGGGTCATCTGGAGGCATGCAGCTTTAAAGTAAATCATGACTTTATTTCTTTGCTGAATAATATTTGTAATTATTTGTTTGACACTGTATTTATTCAAACTTTGATGAATATATAAAAGTAATGGTACTGATACTTAATTACTTCACCAAAATAAGTACTGGTACTGCAGTACCGAGCTAAAATCTAGTACTGGTACTGGTAATGGTACTGCATAATTTGCCAAGTACTGGTACTGGTACTTAAGTACTACACCCTTAATACTGATGCAGCTCTGGTCGACACTCAAATTTTTAAGTAAAAAATGACAGGAAAATCAGCATCATCAATTTATTTTTACATCTTATATGTTTTTTCTATTTTTTGTTGATGTAAAACCAGGTTTTCAAAAATATTTCCCAAGTCAGTGGCCTGTGGTCAATACATTTCTAACTGCCTCATTTTAATTTAGTAAAAAGAACGTTTTGAAGCAGTTTTTGCCAACGAAAAGTTTCGGTTAATTGAAAAATATTAAAAAGTTTACCAACTTACAAAAAATCATCACATTCTGTCCTGCTCCTATACTTTTAGGTGACCATATGCTTTTTTGTTGAAAAACAAAGTTATAAAAATTATATTTATCAAGTGTCGGAGTTATCTATGTGTCGGAGTTATCTCTCTGACCAGTAAACTGTTAGTTTAAGATCCATGTTTTTATTGTAACTGTTATAAAATGTTCGAGGTTGTCATCATGTTTACATTAATTAAGTCATTTTGGTTATAAATATTTAGTTTTCTCCTTAATTTTAACATCTTTTTACTTACCTTTATCCTAAGAGTAGAAGATCTAAGTTGTTAAGACTTAAATTCTAAAAACAAAGGAAACAGGTTCACATTTTTTTCTCACCTAGTGAAAATTATTTAAGTGTTACTGACACGTTATTGGAGGTGCTACTGTAAGAGATAACTTTATTAGTGCTGGGTATTGCAAAGAAAAAACATAAAAGCAATATATTGTGAACTATCTAAAATGCTTATGTATCACGGGTATACAACCTACAAAACCTTGACTTAAGAGTTAATTGTTAAATCTGCCCTAATGAATCAAACACAAGTGTATAAAGGCTGCGTTTAAGGCCCTGGCCTTTTATAAAAGATTTCAAATTATGTTGAAAGTCAACCTTGTGCAAATGCCTTTTGAAGTCAAGCTATCATTTTCAAGTTGTAAACAATTCTGAACATTAATAGAATTTTATGTTTTATTAAAACCAGCATCAGTATATTGTGATATCTGAAAACATACTGCAATATGATATTGCTAGATAAATATTGCAATATCCCATAATTATATTGCTGTTATTATTGTGCACCCAAAATTTTATCTCAACTTGATTCAAAATGCATTACAATAAAGTAATTAACTCTGATTGCAGGTAATAAATTGTTATTTTTGATCAAAATGTTATTAAAATGTTGATACACACAAGTTCAACTATCGCAGGTAACAATGACAGCCAAGGATTTACAAGACATTCTCTTCAATTCTTATCCTTCTAAATAAAATATTATTAAATGTTCCTGATTCAGTGTGTTTTTGTGGAGAATAAGTTCATATCTTTCAATTTCTAGGCTGACACAGCTATGTTGCATATGGGTTAACCCTACAGCAGAGTAGTTGAAAGTAGCCTTTAAACTTACAGTCTGTCTCTATAATTTCTTTAATATTTTCTTTGTAGGAATTAGATGACGATGGTGGTAAATTTAAAGCTCGAAACAAAAAGAAAATTGAGGAGAGAGACTTAAAGAAAATGGCACCTCAACTCAGGAGTAAATACCTTGCTGTAAGATATACTGTACTGCTAAATTTATTATACGTTTTTTTGAGTATATAAGTTACTTGAAAATATTTTTCATACACAAAGTCATGTCTGTTTTGAGAAATTCTGGATTTTTTCTCTCTCAAAAAGTGACATATTTTGTAATTATACAGGTCATTTCAGATCATTTATTTCACATTGATCATGCAACTTTTCATTGATTTAGGTTTAAAGATGAAGTCTAAGTCAAATGCCATTTAAACCATTTATGTATCATTCTTGAGATTTATCTAGTTTTTTGAATAATATGCACATCAATATAGTAATTTATTGAAAATCTGGGAACAGTCTTAAAATAAATTGTCTGTTTATGAATGTAAATCCAAGTATGCAAGTAATATATTAACAGTATGAAGACCCTTCAAAAGATGTTGCAGAGCAACAAGCCAATGCTGCCAAACGCCTTATAGAAAAGAAAAAGAAATATCAAATGTAAGTAACGTTCTAAATGAAATCTGCCCTGAATTTAAAGTAAAGAATTAAAGTTAATGTAAGAATTATGTAAAGAGGCAAAAGTCAATATTTTCTACATTACACATTTAAAGTTTTAACCTCTATTTAGAGACTATGTTCCGTACTTTTGTCAATTATTTCATTATCATAAGTGAATAAAGTTTTGTTTTATATTTTTTTAATACATTATTAAGTCTTCTTTTTATTTTAACTTGCTTAATATATTGAGTGAGACCCAAAAATAAGGATTGGAGCACCAGACTAAATACCATATTCTGGTATGTACATGAGGCTGACATTAGGTGCGTGAATGATTAAATGCTAAAATTTCACCTTGTCACCCAACGAAATGAACTTTAAAACGTCTAATTCATCTTCTCACACTGATTTATATAACGATAATGAATAAAAAATATAAGAATCAGAGGAAAAAAACGATTTTTCTCTTATTTGTGATCAAGATTTCTGTAAGTGTCTAGAGGAAATGCTCCAACACTGTATGGAGTTAAATCCTAATATATTATATCTTTTAGGGACAATGCGCCACCGTCTGACGAGGAAATGCAAGAGAAAGACAAACATGAAAAACTCATCGGACAACTTAAGTAAGTATACTTGGAGTTTTATGAGATTACCAATTCTGGAAAAGGTTTAATTTTTCTTTATGTTTTAAGGTTTTTTATTTTAAATCTGTGATTCTGTATCAAATATACCTTTTGTCAGGTTGTCAGGGCTTTTTTTCACAGGTTGGGGAATCAGCCCTGCCGTTAATTTTTGGGGAAAATTTATATGATATCGCAAAAGAGGAAGAAAAAAGTCTCGATGTAAATCCAATTTTCATTAAACAGTCCCTTTAAGAGAAAAGTATTAAGTCAATTAATATTATATAAATATTTAAATCTTAAAGAAGAAAATTTCTGCCTATGTTATTTTTTTTTTTAATTTTTTTTTTGTAGCTCTGTTAGTATAAGTATAGTTTAAATAAATCAAAATGGATATTTTGATGTTGAATATAAAGTTAATTTAAATGACTATTTGTTTTAGGGCTGCTGAGGCAAGAAATAGGTTGAGAATTATGAGACTCCGGTATCAGTCTAGCAAGGTAACCATAAATTTGTAAATACAAATTTTCTGTCCCAAATAGCACTTTGAAATTTTTAATAGTTTTAAATAAGTCTTGAAAGTCAAGTTTCTGAAAATGATAAATTTTGGAGCTTTTTTTTTCAAAAGCCTACCATGAAGTTGATGGGTAGAATCACACAATAACTCTATTTGATAAATATTCTATGGACACACTTACATACAAAATGTACTTTAAAGCAGGTGTCAAAGAAAAAGTTTAAGCTTAAAAAATTTCAATTTCTTTTAATAAAAGCAAAAGCAGACTACTGTATGTTGATGGGGTGAAATGAAAACTGGCAAACAACTTTTCTAAAAATATTATTAACTGGTCCATGATAATAAAAACAGACTTAATAGGTAGAATGGAATTATTGTAATAAGTGATTTTAAAGCAGTGCATAAATAAGTATGCTTGTAAACAAATTTTAGATTGACAATATGCTAAAATTACTTATGCTATACTAATATTATAAAAATAACAATGTCTCTGAAGGTAAAAGTGCATTATAATTAGCAACCTAAGAACTGAAATAAAACAGCTGAGGCGGTGTAATTTTTCACCGCTATACATCAAGTGCGACTAGGAGAAAGAACCAGAACATTATGTTTTCTTAAGTCTATATAGATTATTTGCCCCTGGGGTAAATCTTGGCAAAAAACCAAAATATTGAACAGGGGGATACTTCTCATTTTCAGGATGAGATAAGATTGAAGTAAATTACAATGGTGGGAAAATGTCACATTAGGCTATATATAGAATCTACTAAAAAGTTAATGTGAGGTATAATAAACTTGTTTTGCAAAGATGAACCTTTTGCCGTTACATAAAATCTACATTTTTCAGGCACAAGAAATTAGTCATTTGATAGCATGTCAGCCTACAGCCTTGAAGGCTGTAAGATTACAAGCTCTTGTCCCTTCTTACCCAGACACTAAAGACAAGGGTGATGCCCTTGATAAACTTGATGTAAGTATAAAAATGTGTGTGTGTGATTCTTTGATGTATGATGATGATGGTGATGATGATGATGAATACAAAGATGATAGTGATGATAAATGTTCATACAATGACATATTTGATGTATTATATAATCAATCTCCCACACAGTGATCTCCCCCTTCCAGGATTAAATCTCTGCCATCAGAACGTGTTCGTCAAGATTTTTAACGACATGAAGTTTTTTCAATTTTGATATTTATTTTAAAAAGTAATGATTGCTAATGTTTCAAGACCGTAAAGTGTTAGATGTGAACTAAAATAAAAAATAATTTCGGAAACATAAATATTATGAAAATAATTTTTAATATTGCACTGTTAAATATTTCCAAAACAATGACTGCTTTCAAAAGAGAAATCATTTAAGTCATTAATAATTTCAATTCTACACAACAAAATTGATTTTTTTTTTCAATCATATCGAAAGACTCGACAATGTTGGGAGAGTTCAAGTTATAATGTTGCTGTTTATTACATTTAAAACAATTGTTCAACGATAATCTTTGGCATATCCGCCATCTTGACACAATCATGTGATAAGACCATCATCGTGTGATTTATGTGAGGGCAGTGGTTACTGGCTAAAGTGTAACTGGTGGGCGGAGTTCCGTTTTTTATACAATATTAATAGGAACAAGTTATTTAACATAGCAACATTTTTTGACAAAATTGGCTATGAAAAATATAACTTTGAGTACAATATTATTAATCTTTATTTTCAGCGTGAACGAGTGGAAAATCTTTTGGAGGACTCGAAAGGTCTCCTTGTTAACAGAATCAACTGATGTTCATATCATTTAGATCATAGTTCACCATATTCATTTTCCACCATCACAAATTTTCAACAATACAATGTATACATGTACTTCAATTACTGCTTCACTTTGTGATATGTGGTTTTTGTTTGTTATAATTATTCCATTGTCAATTTCGATATTGTGATTTTGAAAATATTAAATTGGTCGTCAAGAAGGCACTGACTAAGAATTAAGAGATTTTGTTATTAAAGCAATTTTTTTTTAGGTCAGTGACTGGCTTTTTGAGAGATAAATGAGCCGCGTCACGACAAAACCAACATAATGGGTTTGCGACCAGCATGGATCCAGACCAGCCTGCGCAACCGCGCAGTCTGATCAGGATCTATGCTGTTCGCTATCAGTTTCTCTACTTGTTATAGGGTTTGTAAGCGAACAGCATGGATCCTGATCAGACTGCGTGGATGTGCAGGCTGGTCTGGATCCATGCTGGTCGCAAACCAATTATGTTGGTTTTGTCGTGACGTGGCTCAAATATAAGTGGTGGTTATACTAGGGTATGTGCCTCTATACTTTGGCATTATGGGTTTGAGCTCCCAAGGTGTGCCTCTCCACTTTGGCATTATGGGTTTGAGCTCCCAAGGTGTGCCTCTCCACTTTGGCATTATGGGTTTGAGCTCTCAAGGTGTGCCTCTCCACTTTGGCATTATGGGTTTGAGCTCTCAAGGTGTGCCTCTCCACTTTGGCATTATGGGTTTGAGCTCTCAAGGTGTCACAACCATTTGTTTTCTCATACATGTAGTTGTAGCAGGCAGAATCGAGTTCCTACAATACAAGCTCTTATGTAACAATCATGCTGAAACAAATTATGTTTAAACTTAAATAGCGATTATTTTAATCAGATGTTATAAATTGCATTTAGACATGATCTTTCATTGCTACGATCATTATATATATATATATATATATAATATATATATATATATATATATATATACATGTATATATATATATATATATATATATATATATATATATATATATATATATATATATATATATATATTTATGTTTTCCTATAAATGTGTATGGAATACATAGGAAAGTATAATCTAAAATATCTAAAGGAAAATAATATCTAAGGAAAATATCTAAAGTATTTAGATTTGAATACCACTAAAAAATTGGTTTCAGTAAATCATACTGGAATTATTTTTTTTGCAGAATTGCATATGTAAAAAGTTGTATTAAATAATGCTTTTTAAGGTTTCTTTAACTATACATGAATACAAAATTAATTTTAAAAATTTAAATTATTCAAATTGCTATACCTGAAAAGAGGTTTCTTTGGAATGATTCCAATTTTTTTTTTCTAAGATTTCATTTCGTCATTTTTTTAAAACAAATCAGATTTTATATAATTTCATGTATGTATAAATTATAGATGTAAATATTTTTAAATAAACATTCTGTTATGATAACAAAATTTTATATAATGTTATACCTTTAGCTATAAAAACACAATTTTATAGAATGTTATGTTTATATAACATATGTAAATATGTGTTGTTTTTTCTTAAATGTGTATTCATGATAAACTATTAAATGTTGTATGTTATTAGAAATGATGTGATAAAATATTATGTTATTATAACATGTTGTTATAAAACACAATGTTATTATAATATGTTATGTTATTTTAACATGATGTTACAAAATGGGGTGTTATTATAACATGGTGTGATAAAATATTATGTTAATATAACATGTTGTTATAAAACACTATGTTATTATAACATGTTATGATAATATGTTATGCTATTTTAACATGATGTAACAAAATGAGGTGTTATTATAACATGGTGTGATAAAATATTTGTCTTTATAACATGTTATTAAATTTTATTGCAACATCATCTTTTTATTTTCAGAATCTGATTTTCACAACAATTTTATGATATAACATGTTATTATTATAACATCATGTTATTGTAGCATTATTCTGTTGAAGCAAATAACATAATTTTATTATAATAACATCATGTTATTGTAACATTATTCAGTTGAATCAGTATGTTATAATAACATGTTTGTGTATTTTGTAGGGCATGTGCAAAGGCAGGCCCGTGTGCAGTGTTTTTATTCATTGTTTAACTCGCTAAAATATAGCAGTAAACACACTGTGTTTTCATTCTGTATGCATTGTCATATGAAAGTTGCTTTCTAAATACACACATTTCTTTCTAAATACAGGTTTTTTAGAGTGTATTGCATTTATTTAGATGTGATGAATGGATGAATTTATAAAATAAAAAATTCTCAAAAAAGTTCTAAAAGGAAAGACTAAATTTTGATTAATCTAAAATTTCTTAGTCTTATTTGATGAAGTGTTTTGTTGTATTTTTTGTCTCTAAATTTTTTTATTGTCATACTATAAACATGTGTTTTTATTGTACATTGTATACTCTGTCACATATAGTTTTTTAATGCACATATTTTATTTATTTTTATGTCTTTTGTAAAGAACATTATTACTGCCATGTCTAAATGTCTGTGATTTTTAATACATTTAAATTTTTGTAATATGCATGAATGGACTAAATCTGTTATTCAGTCTTATATTAAAGTTGTTTTGTATATGATTACCCATAGCCCTTTGGAACTGAAAACGATAAGCCTATTTGCTAGGTTGTCCTTCGGGAGAGCAGTGGCCTAGTTGTTAAGGTGTCTGTCTCTCAACCCAGGGATCATGGGTTCAAGCCCTAATCCGTTTATGATCATGATTCCTCATATGTTACCAGAACTGGTTAGTTCCAGGAAGCAGACTCGAAATATTCAAGTGATCAATATATGTTGCATGAACTTGTTTCACAATCTAGCTAAAATAAAATATGTTTAAAATAAAACAATAAGCCTTAAAAATGCCAAAAGAACTTGTTTTGCAATCAAGCTAATATAAATAAGCTTAAACTAAAACAATCAGCATTTGCCACCCGAGTGAAGAACGTGGCCAAATTGCACAGACCAGACTCTATACTGTTGGCCAACTTTGATTTTCTTCCCGATATCCCCAAAATTGATAATGGACAGATCCAAAATTGGTAGCTGGACAAGTCCATTTTAGAAATGTAGTGGGTTATAAAAATGTAAGGTTATAATTTCAAATTCCAATACTGCTAAGTTCATAGGATTTTGATATAGATTTACATCATAAATTTAAGTGTGGAATGTTTTGATTCATTACCAATAAGAAAAGTTACAACTGCAAATTCATTATTTTTCATGGGGCATTAATTTTCATGGTTTTTAATGGATAGGTCAATCCACAAATCTAAGATCCAGCGAAATTTAATTTTGTCTGCTGTAAGATTATTTTGCATCATATTATTTACAATTTAAAAAAACTCAGTCCACAAATAAAAGAACCCATGAAAATGTTCTTTGCGACAAAACCACAAAATTTCAAGCTCACGAAATTAAGTTAATTCACAGTGAATTAAATGAGTTGATCTCGCAAAACATCTTGATGGTTGCAATAAAATGGTTGAAACTAGAGATTCATTCTTTTCTTATAAAATCAGATCAGTTTAAATTTCTCAATTTTCAACCTGTATGCCTATATTTTAGAAATGTTGTGTTAAGCAGATGTTTAGAAAAATCCTCATTGAAAAAATGCATTTATCTTAACACACATTTACAGGACAATTTTGTATCACTTGATATCTGAAGTATATATGGATTTGATTTGTATATGGGTACCTTATAGGTGAAATGAAATTATATGAAGTTTTTTTTAATAAACCTGTTGTAACCATCTGATTTTCTTGTTGTTTTTAACCAAATTAACATAACAGTCCCTGTAACATACGCAAATATATCTGATATTCTTTTTTTATTTCATAAATGAGAGGCTGATAGCCTTTTATGAAAAACACAATTTATAAATATGTATTACCATCTAAAAATGATAGTGCTTCAAAAGATTTTTCCCCTATTTTGAAAATAGGGAATTTTTTTTAGTATTTTCTTATGTTTAGATCAGTCCTCAGTGTACGGTTAAGGTTTAATGGGGCTCCTGGATCTGCCCTTTCAGGCACTAGCAAATAGGACTGTCGAGTGTTCCTACAGGATGAATATCTGCTGAAAATACAGTAAAATTAGATGGGATAGTACATGTATGTTTATTTTTGTTCACACCTTATAAAAATGTAACCAATATACTTCCAATACTTGCATATGATGTTCCAATATAAATCATTATTGGATCCTATCTCATCAGTTTAGCCTTGTTTTCATGACCCTCACCCCCATCCCCCTGCAAGTCCAAAAAATCTGTATCAAATGCATACTGTACTCCATTTAGCCTAATTTTCTTCCATGTGCAAAACATCTTCTCAAATCCCTATGCTACTCTATAATGTCTTATCAATTTCTGAGTCCAAGAGTCCATATCAAATCCATACTGTACAAGTAACTCTATCTTTAATATACATAAACAGTGTTGATTTTATGTCTCCTCCTTAAGAAAATGGTGGAAAATATACAGTAACAGTGTTGATCATATGTTTCCTTCTTAAGATTTGGCAGTGGAAGAGTTCATTATACATGTACATTGTTGAGTATCATACTGATTCTATTGGACTTATTAACAGTGCCATATCCAAAAGAGATTAAAAAGCTGTGAATTTGTCCAACTGAATTCAGCTTCATAGTCAGAATATACTTACAGAACAAAACAAATGCTTTTGAAACATTAATGAACATGTATAAAGAATATGAGTCCTATTTCTTGATCTTTCAATGTTTTTCCTCTTGGTAAGGTTGCAAGTTTTACCTGCACAGAAAAGGGTATATGATTGACTGCATAATCTCTATCGTACACCAAAATACCTACTGTATGCCAATATGAAATAACCAAAAGTCCCAAATATGATCCTAACTCCAGGCAATGAGTGGTAAGTGATTCTAAATTAGCCAAAGACTGTGATGCCCTTTATCTTTAAATGCTTGCATTTTCTAGAATGTTTTTGTTTGTTTGGGTTTACATCACACTGACAGTATAAGTCACATGGAAACTTTACAGCTTGAGAAAGATCGCTAGTGCCCATCCGTGCATTATTTAAGGCACGAACGGGCACCCCAATAGAACCACCGACGTCCCGCAAGCTACTTCTAGATGTCCTGCAAGCTACTTCTAGGATGCCAACTTACACAAAAAAAACTTAACGCGACATCATATTTACATATTTATTCACATTATTATAATATTCATAAAATGATATAGTATTTTTTTAAGATCAAAAATAAAAACATCAATCATGACAAAATTTTACAACATATGGCTTTACACTAGGCACTATCCAAAAAAAAACACAAAAAGCTGACCTTAAATAAAAACTAACAACTGATTTTCATAGACTAGGAGAACTTTCATAACCTCTTAAAACACACGGAAATATATTGCCTGTATCTATATTATATCACCTAGCACAAGGGAAAAAAGTAAACACTGTACAACATAAATAAAAAAAAAAATACATATTTAAAACATTGCTTTTAATTCTTAACTATTCAAATTTTGACTCGTGAAAATATATAACTTAAATTTATCAACTTTATCAATATGGTTATATAACATAATCAATAGTTATATAACATACATTAATAACATTGTTATATAACAGTTATAGAACGTACATTATGTAAATAGTTATATAACATACATTTTCTGAATAGTTATAGAACATAGATAATATAGTTATATAACATACACTATCAATATTGTTAAATAACATATACTATCAATATTGTTATATAACATAAACTATCAATATTGTTATATAACATATACTATCAATATTGTTATATAACATATACTATCAATATTGTTATATTACATATACTATCAATATTGTTATATTACATATACTATCAATATTGTTATATAACATATACTATCAATTA